CAGCACGACACATTCTTCCACCTCTCCTTGTAGAAATTTTGTTCATTGCGGACACTGGAAGAACGTCCTGGGCATGGGACTGGCCGCTGAGTCAGGTCAGAACATTCACATGCTGCTGTGAGAATCCCCGTGCAGCTTTACTAGACTCTGGAGTTGTTAGTTTAGGAGCTCACAGATGTTGGACCAGAATGCAACTCATAAAATTAAGGCATTTTGTTGGACGGGGTTAAAGCTAAATAGCTGAAGCAAGGACATTTAAGCCCAGTTCTGTGCCTGAAAAAGTCACTAGGGCCACATAGTTCACACAGAAAGTCAAGCTGGTTTGAAATGAAGATCTCCAGACACCATAGCCGCCTCTCAGAAAGAGGCTATCACGATAAGAATACTAAATCAAAGGAGAGGAATAAAAAGAATCATAGAGAAAGACCAGTTCAATCAGCAGCCACACTATTTTGTTTCATGCCCAGTTGATGGTTGGGAGAAAGCAGTATTTTTATCCAATAAGTAAAATGAATAAATTCAAAGATATAACTATAATCGCATGAAAATCGAACAACACTAACAAAATAGTTTTTAAAAGGAGCAGGATACAAATGATTTCTTTGTCATCATTGTGTTCATTGACTATTTATTAAATATTATTCTTAAATCATGGGGGCTTTTAGGCTCATCTAAAAGTTCTGCTGCGTGATTCCATTGGGAATTGATATTTGAAATGGTTGAGCTGCTTCGGTAAATCATTCCTTTCTTGATTTTTCTATCACTGCTTATTTTTCAGACCCACTATGAAAATGGGGAATATATTATCAGGCAAGGCGCAAGAGGAGACACCTTCTTTATCATCAGCAAAGGAAAGGTAAGCTTTGCAGGCACGCAAAGTGATGCCTGAGGAAATGTGGCCTCCTCAGGGGTCCCTGGAAGAACACGCGCGGTCTTTTTTTTTTTTCACACGTACAGTCTTATATTGCAAAAGTGTTTCCATCTTCTGCCTTCAAAAGAGAAATATGTTAGAATGAATCATCCAAAAATAATTCAAAAGGAAGAAGTACCACTTTGAAGACCAGTAAATATAGTGAAAGCTCATAATCATGATGACATGGGTCTGTCCGTGAGTTTCATGCTCTCTAGAATCGGTTGCTGTTGAAGCGTCTGAATCATTGTGACTCGTAAGAAGCTTGGAGGCGCAGCTGCTGTGCATCGGCTTGCTAACGGCAAGGTCAGTTGTTGGAAAACACCAGCTGCTGTGTAGGAGAGAGATGAGGCTGTCTGTTGCTGTAAACATTTATAGCTTCAGAAACTCAAAGGGGGCAACAAGGCAGTTCTACCCTATCCTATAGGATCCTGATGGGTGGATCAACTAGCTAGCAGTAGCTTTGGGTTATATTTGAATGATCCTATGTAACAGAATAGAAACCTTACAGAATTTTCTAGGCTACAATATTTGAAGTAGATTACATAATTTTAAAATAAAAGAGAAAATTTATTTTAAAAATTCATATGAGAATAAGAATCCATCCAGTTACGAGGAGTAGGTGTTATGATGAAATATCTTATTTGAAATCAGATGACTCAAATTGAACTTGGGTTTTGAGATTTACTAGTTAGGGTCTTGGTGCCATAGTGGTTATGTGTTGGGCTGCTAACCACAAGGTCAGCAGTTCAAAACCACCAGCCATCTCTTGGGGAGAAAGATAAGGTTTTTAATCCCATACAGATTTATAGTCTTGAAAACACACAAGGGCAATTCTACCCTGTCCTATGTGGTCACTTATGAGTCAGCATTGACTCAATAGTAGTGAGTTTAGTTTTAATTTGATTTAGTGTCTTTAGGCAGCTTTCTTAGAATTCTGAAGATGATAGGCACATACATATATTAATGTTTCTTTATAAAAATATTATATGGTTAATAGGAAACTAATTAGAACTATTGGTGTGGGGGATCTGGCTGCTAACGTGTACAGTCGATGAGCTTAACACACCAATGGCTCTGAAGGAGGAAGAGGAGGGTTTGATTTCACTATATATTTACAATCTCAACAACCCAAAGGAGCAGTTATACTCCATTCTACAGGGTTGCAGTGAGTCTGAATCAACTGGATGGCCGGGGATTAGTGCTGGGTTTTCTGGAAACAACTAATGGTGATAAATTATAAAGTAAGGGGCAACATGAATGAAAATTCACAGTCTATTCCCAACTAAAACATTTTGATTTTGTTTTCAACAGTATTAATCCATTATAAAGCCTATTTAAAAACAAATTAAGAAATAAGTGAAATGTAAATGGAGACTTACTAATGTTATATTATCACAAATACCTTAAATTCCTTTCAACAGTAAAGCCATAATCACTTTTTGCCAGTAAATGTTCTCACACTATATGCTGTAACTTGATATTATTTGCCCTTATCAGAAATGATCTTTCTAAAGAATGAGTCACAATCAACTTGATGGCAGTGAGTTTGTTTTTTTTACTAGTATGTATCCATTACAGTAAGATATGGGAAATAATGAGTAAGTAGAGTGGATGTATATACTGGTTTTCATTTTTAAAATGTTAAATCTTTAAGAATACATTTTTTTGCTTTGTTTCTAATTGAACAGATGAAACTTACTCTAGAACTTGTCTCATATGCATTAGAAAAGGAGGTAGAGTGAACAGAGTCTGTAAAGATTATTAATCTTGGTGGATCACATTTTAGATAATCCTCTGTGGACTAATTTTGAATTAAGATTGTTCTATCTGTCGTCTCTCTCTCTGTCTATCATATCCATTACCTCCTCATTCCATTTTCCCACGAACATGTTGAGATTCCCCTTAGACAAATCTGACTGTCATCAAGTCAATTCTGACTCAAAACGATCCTATAGGACATGATGGAACTGCCTCTGGGTTTCTGAGACTGTAACTCTTTATGGGAGTAGAAAGCCTCATCTTTCTCCCAAAGAGCAGCTGATAGTTTCAAACTGCTGACCTTATGGTTAACAGCCCAATGTGTAATCTACTACACCACCATGGCTCTTCCCTTATATATTTTATATATAATGTGTATATATATTATATATGTCACATATAATTATATATAATGTGTGTATATATGTTATGCATATATATTTTTAAAACCGTACCTGTTCTTTTGACTGATCTCTGAAAGCCTAGGATAAAAACCAAAGTCAAGATCCAGCTTCTTAAAAGGACTCATGAATTAAGATGTTTGGCCAGAATTGCGGTTAAATTTTTATCTCATGTTCCCCAATGTTAGAGGATGAGTAAATATTAACATTTTATGGCTTGTAGAATGGTTATTAAAGCTTACAATTTACTGTTTTATTGCTTGATATTGACAAAAGGATCAGGAAAATTTGAAAATCCTCAAAAGCCATAATGAATCGATTTGTTACGAGGGAATCTTGCATGGTGACAGTCGGGATGCATTTTTCCTTTATGATATTGCTGGCTCTGCCATAACGGGGCGATGTGCTTATGATGGATTCCTGACAGACTTTGGTGACCACCCTATGACAGCAAATTTTCTATGCAGCCTGAAATAGTAGTTTGTAACCGAGTTTAGCTGAAGACAGGTGCTTCAGTGGCGGTGTTTTATTAGTTTTATAATATCTATCTACATAGAAAGAGTGTGCCAATTACACCAGAGGGCCCAATTCTATTGCCACTATTTCAGAGCTCCACCGGGACTCTGCTAGTTCAAGATGATTTTTTCTTTTAAAGCAGGCATAGATTGCTCCTGGCATTCCTGGTCCTCTGAATTGACTGCCGTGATCCTTAACTGTATTCACTACAGAACAGTAATGGTGCAATAATCCGTATTGTATACGTTAAGGAAAAGCAAGGATGCTACTTTGAAGACTAAGGTGTGCCCGACTCAAGCCATAGTATTTTCTCTAGCTTCATATGAGTGTGAGAGTTGGACACTGCATAAAGGAGACGGAAGAAGAATCCATGCATTTAACTATGTATCCCGGACCATAAAAGTACAAGCTGATCTGTACTGGAAGAAGTGAGGCCAGAGAGCTCCATAGGAGCAAGAATGGCAAGACTTCACTGTGCACACTTTGGGCATGTTGTCAAGAGAGACCAGTCCCTAGAGAAGGGCATCACGTTTGGTCAAGTGGAAGGGCAGAGAGGAGGACGGCCTTCATGGAGGTAGATTGACTCAGTGGCTGTAGCAATGGGCTGAAGCCTGGGAGCTGTGAGGCTGGAACAGGAGCAGTTGTGTGTGGTCTCCACCGGTCAGAAGTGATCCGATGGCACTTCTCAACAACTAACATGTTAATAAAATAACACATGTACAGATTATGTCATGCTTATATTACATTGAATTTTAATGCTATTGTTATTTGTATATTAATACGAATATCTATGACTACATTAGCCTTCACTAAGGCTTAAGAATCATAAGGTGTGAATACTCCAGTCTTCATCACCAGGTAGAGGTTAGACTGTGGAAGAGTAACAAGAGAGTAAGTTCAGGCTAACAGGCAACTACATTGTTAAAAAGAAAACTTTCTAACATTGTACAGCTTGTTTTTGTAAATGTTTATAAAGGATATTCCTGACACAGGTGTAAAGTTTTTTGCTGCCAAATTGGCTCTTTCTCACGCAACGTGGTGAGACCCAAGCTATGACTCACCACAGGGCTGCAGAGCTGCAAAATGGATTCCCCTTTGTTTGGTGCCACTTATTCAAGTGAAAGACTTTTTGTTCCCCTGAACGTACAGCCACTTAAAAAAGGAAAACATACTCTAAACGTGGAGACACTTGGTTTCCTGCAGCCAACCAGCACAAACGGATCTGTCTGAAACGTCAGGCAGGCTGCCTGCAGCGGCGTCTGAAGTCCTGGGTGCTGCCTACCTAGAAGCTGCGTTAGTTCTGTGTTCTTTAATCAGTCTATCCCAGTTACCTGGGAGGATGGCTATTTCTTCCCAGAGAATAAAAGGAATTCACAATCGAGCATGACAAGTAGCTCTGACAGAACTTGATGTCTACGTCCTTGATATTGTGATTTATTGTAAACCCACGTTTTGTCTCTCTCCATAATTAGAATGGACTCCAATGGAACAGAATTGGTTGATAAAATTTCAGTCTCAATAATGTATATGCGTTTTCAGTTTGTTTCTGAAGTCTATTTTTATAACGTATATGTTACCATTAGAAAAAATATAATTAGAAATTTCTAATCATTAAATACCATTCATACCACATGGCTTTACTTCTGAGAATTACCAAGTCTTCAAGCATGTGTACTAACCCAATAGGCATAGTCACAAAGTACAGTGTTGATACCGAGAAATAGGCTTTGTTCTCTTGTGGAAATTGTCTTTTTTTTCTCTTATGGAAGTTTTATTTGTTATACATACCAGTGTACCATAAAGAAACATTTCCTTTAAGGTCAAAAGCAAGATGGGGATACTTATTTTGTTGTTGTTGTTTTAATCATTTTATTGGGGGCTCATACAACTCATCACAATCCATACATACATCCATTACTGCCATCATCATTCTCAAAAGATTTTCTTTCTACTTGAGCCCTTGGTATCAGCTCCTCATTTTTTCTCCTCCCTTCCTTTCTTCCCTCTCCCTGATGTACCCTTGATAATTTATAAATTATTACTGTTTTTTCATGTCTTACACTGTCCAATGTCTCCCTTCGCCCACTTTTCTGTTGTCCATCCTCCCAGGGAGGGGGTTATATGTAGATCCTTGTGATTGGTTCCCATTTTCTACTCTATCTTCCCCTTCCCCTCTCGGTCTCACTACTCTCATTGGTCCTGAGGGGTTTATCTGACCTGGATTCCCTGTGTTACCAGCTCTTATCTGTACCCATGTACAGGGGATAC